TAGATGCAAAGGATTCGGATATGCTCTGGATGGAAAAGGGCAATGTTTCCCTAAAAGTTTTCTCCTTAATGGATTTCATATGCCGAATACTCTCCAAATCATGCATATTAAAATTCCAAAAGGTTTTCTGAGAAAGGATGAAGTCGTAACGAAGCTAGAAACATACGATTTGAACTGCTCAGCTGCACAAGTTTCTCTCAAAACTAGTGATCTTGAAGTGGAAAAGAGCAGCAAAAATCGATACATGGATTACCTGGTTGGATTTGTAAGTTCCTTCGCAATAATTGAAGCAATCTGCATTGGTTTGACATGGTGGTACGCCTTCCGAAAGCATGCTCATGAGGAATTTGTGAATATGGGTTACATCGCATTAGCCATGGGATTCAAGCGTTTCACGTACGCAGAACTAAAAAGAGCCACCGATGGCTTCAAACAGGAGGTAGGAAAAGGTGGTTTTGGAACTGTGTATAAAGGTGTTCTAGATGATGAAAGAGTTGTTGCTGTGAAGAGACTAGATGGCATCTTGCAAGGAGATGCAGAGTTTTGGGCAGAGGTGAGTGTGATAGGGAATATCAATCACAGGAACTTGGTTAAACTATGGGGTTTCTGTGCTGACAATGAGCATAAGCTGCTCGTCTACGAGTACCTGGAGAATGGATCACTGGACAAAATCTTGTTCACATCAGATGGGGAACTAGGATTGGAGCAGAGATACAACATTGCTCTTGGCACAGCAAAGGGTTTGTCATATTTACATGAGGAATGCCTAGAATGGGTGCTCCATTGTGATGTAAAGCCTCAAAACATTCTGTTAGATGACCACCTTGAACCTAAAGTGGCAGACTTTGGCATGTCAAAGCTATTCAAAGACATCCATGGCATCAGGGACATCGATGGGATGGGATTTTCGAAAGCGCGGGGCACCAGAGGCTATATGGCTCCAGAGTGGATGATGAACCTGAAAATTGATGCGAGGGCAGATGTCTATAGCTATGGGATTGTTTTGTTGGAACTACTGAGTGGAAAAAGTGCTTCTATTCTCGTTTCAGTTCTTGCCAAAGAGTACAATGAATGCAACCAATTGGCACAATGTGTGACTGAAAAGATCAGAGAAGAAGGGCTTGAGGAAGTACTTGATCCTAGACTACTTGGTGAACTTGATAAGAAGAAGCTCGAAAGATTGATGAAAGTTGCTCTACTGTGTGTTCAAGATGATCGCAGTGCAAGGCCAGCCATGAGTAAGGTTGTGGAGCTTCTACTTGAAAATGACGAGTAAGGGCCAGATGAAGAAGATCAGAGAGAGAGAGAGAGAGCAAATAATAGAAGCTAAATGTACAGTAAATAATATGTCATTCTTACATTTGTTTAGCTTCCCATTAAATGTAATGATAGGTTACTAGGATTGGAGCATTCCAGCTGAATAAAAACTGTGATTCCAACAATTGTTTCAAGTTTCTGTATGATATATGATTCAGTTTTCATTCTTCGAATCAACAATCGTTTATAGAAAATCGAAAAAATTAGAACCATGAACAGAAGTATGAACAAATGGTTCTACAGCCAAACAAATTAATACCATGAAAATGTAAACTAATGATTTCTTCTCTCTTTACTTTCTTCTCTCCCTGTCTCTGTCCATGTCTGCCCCAACCAAACCCAGAATGCGTTGGACACACGAACTTCATGAAGCCTTTGTGGAAGCTGTGAAACGTGACAGAATTGCATCTGCAACAGCTAACTCCGTATCTGCAGTTCTACGGATCACAGGAAGATTTGCTTTCCTCAAGATGTGCTCAGTCAGACGGTAAAGCTGTGTCTGCACAGCAGATGTTTATAACAAAGCCCAAACAACACTCACAATCAAATAAGAAGAAGCAAACAATTGTGGCTTGTTTAGCAGAGCTTCTAATTATAGTATTTTAATTACATTAACCTCTAATAAGAGATTCCAACAAGAAATAATCAACCAAAAGATATAACTAGAAGTTGAATACCATCAAGATACCTGAACACCATAGGACAATAGTCCTTCCACCGAAACTCAAACGACTGATGGGGTGGCGTTTTGTTCGATCCTTCCGGTGGAAACCTGGTCCAGAACTTCTCTTTGGGATTGAAATCACTTGGCTTAAGATCTTTCACTATCGAAGCATGCTTCCCAATAGAGTATCTAAAAACCAAAAACACCACAACATCAACACCAGCCTCCATTGATAAAGAAAACCCATAAGCAAAAAATCACTCCACGACTTGTAAAATCGAAAAATCAGAAAAATCAGAAAAATCAGAAAAAGTACCTAATACCCAGTTGAAGATTGAGCATCAAATCGTAGTTCTTATGCCCGTTTGATATGGTCTGGCCAGGCTTCTTGGGCTCGCCAGAAAAACAACAGGGACTTCGCCGGAACTCGCCAAACCCATCTCGATCGAAACCTTTGCCGTTTCTGTAGAACATCGAAGCCTCCCCATCATACTCCCAGATACAAATCCTGGGAAAAGTCCTCTCCGCCAAGCTCCCTCTAGCCCCATCCACCGACGAAACGGAGCGTTTTCGCACCGTAATAGTCAGATTCTCAGACCCAAAAGCCCCAATGCCGATCAAGCTCTGCCTCTTTCTCTTTTCTTTTTTATTTTTTATTTTTTATTTTTTAAAAGTTTTGTAGTTTTAACAATTTAATTATTTTAAACTTAAAATATTAAATTTTAATTGAATCGTGAGTCACGTGCCTGACGTGTGACATTTAAACAGAAAAATGGATGAAAACTAACGGCATAGGGTAAATTGACCATTTAAAATAGTCTGATAGTTAAATTGGCTGAAAAAATAATTCATAGTGGACATTTCAAAAAACATTATAATTCAGGGGAATTTTCGGCCGTTTACCCTTTTATTTATTCAACAATAGATGGGTACAAAGCTTTATAGAAGACTAGGCTTATTGGCCTTCAACAACTAGAAAATTATATATATACTAAACGGCAATCTACCCCTATATTGTTCTTAAGCACAATGTAATGACGGAAATGCCTCTCGTTTAAATGTTGTTTTTTAGTTTAGTTTTCTCTTCAGTATAATGAATTGTCGAAAATGCCCTCCACTTAACCTTTTCTTATCTTCCCTTTTTGCCCCTTCTCCTTTTACTAAAATACATAAATGTAAAAATTTAAAAAAAGGATAAAGGAATAGATGGAGACAGATGGAAAGAGGAAGAAGAAGGAAAAAGAAAAAGAAAAAGAAAAATAGAGAGAGACAAGCGGGCCCAACAAAAGGCAAAGGTGTTTTTTTTATTATTTTATAACTTCCTATAAATTGTATATTACTTATAATTACATGTATGTTTTAATTAATATATATATATATAGAGAGAGAGAGAGAGAGAGAGAGAGTTTATGTCTCATGTAATCAAATGTATGTTTAATCTTGGTGTGTATAAATATAACTTGATGTTTGCTCTAGACAATTAGAATACTACAATTGTTAAGCCCTGTTGACGCAGAAAAATGGTTCGGCACTTTCCCGCGCAACTTAGTGATTTAGTCTCTTCGGTATCTGATGTCCTCGGTAGGGTGTGCGATCTGTAAGATAGCAAACACACGGTAAATCCTAGGGCACCGGTGTGGTATCGGCCGAAGGCTCTCCGATGTTTTAGTAAGTACGGATTTAGTAAGTTTGAACTACAGATCAATAGGCAGTATGCCGTAAGTTCTGATTGATTACCTCCAAGCTGGGATGGTTGTCCTCCTTTATAGGCCTTGGGAGGCGTGCGACTTGTTTAGAATTTCGATGTGGGACTCTGGACATCAATTGTGGGACTGCCACGCGTCCAAAGGGGCGAGGTTGCCCTAATGTCGCGATCGGTAGGTCTTCTACCGAAGGTAGGTGCCGAAGGCACCACATGGCCATGGTTTAGCCACG